TATCCAGACCGCAAGGATTTGCTTGGCTTGAAATACTATTTTGTGCATTTTTATCGTTTTACTAACAAACGGATTTATTACATACATTAGGATTGCATTTCTTCACAGTAAATTGACAATTGAGGCCAATTCATTACTCTAATTTGTCTGAATGTTTCCCTTTTTGTAATTCCCAGGCAGTTAAGGTAATTAGGTGCTTAAAATTAATTTCTAAATAATTTTACAGTAGCTTAAGGGGCTGTTTACATGAAAACTTTGTATGTTTTGGCCGTTCATTTACAGGACAACAGCGTTTGGGGGTCTGAAAAGGTTAACACAGTCTCATCCCAAGAAGTCATACAGCTGACGTCTTGGGACGTCTTTTGACCATACGTCAACATCCGCCTTTACCCTTAAACGTCGGTTACATGACGATCCCGGGCCGTCATACAACTGACGCTTTATCTTTAACATCGGTAGGGTTTAGGTCTGGGGTAGGGTTAGGATCCGATAACGTCATCTAACCGACGTTTAAGGGTACCCTAAAAAGGCGGATGTTGACGTATGGTCAAAAGACGTCCCAAGACGTCAGTTATATGACGTCTTGGGATGAGACTGCGCTGAAAAGGTTTCTCTGTGTAAACTACAAAACGCAAATTTGTGAAAAACGCGCATCGGTTCTATTTTTGTAAATCAAAATCCACCAATGTTCAAACTTTTGGGGCTAGTATGATGTTTACAAAGGATTTTGAAAGAAGTCCATCCGAAGTCTGCATTTATTACCAAAAACACAGTGAAACGTAATATTGTGAAATATTAGGCTATTAAAAGTCCTGTTTAATATTATCATAAATTTCGTTTTAATATGAAAATTTCTAAAATTTCAGCATCATTACTCCAGTCTTCAGGGTCACATGATCCTTCAGAAATCATATGATGATTTAGTGCTCAAGACGTTTCTTTTTATTATCAATGTTGAAAACAGTTAAACTGATGTTGGTCGTTTTTTCAGGATTTATGAACAGCAACTTCAAAATATCTTATTTTATTTTGTAACATCATACATTTCTTTATTGTCATATTTGATCATCTTTATTTTCTTGTTTTTCTTTTGATTGCTCAGTGTATATGTGATTGAAGTATATTTAATATTTGTTTTTGCTCTGCATTGGATTCAAGTATATTTCTCAAAACACATTTCATGCACTTTATGCAATGATAAAATGTAGCAGATCAGCTCTTTATGTAGATACATTAAAGGAACCTTCATTCTGCTGTTTGTTTACCCGTAGTTCACATTCAACAGCACTTAAGGAACATTAAATGTGATGTAACTTGTATGGTAAGTTAAGCAGGAGCATTAATCTTTTAGCTGCGGTGAGCTGCATCTCTGCCTGCTGCTTCTGATGGCTCTGGATAGAATAAAGAGTCGTTGCAGTCGCACATCATGTTTAACACAATATGACTCAAAGTGAGGCTGCCTGTTCAGGGTCAATGACAGGACACTCATTTGACTTATTGAGTTATTTAAATTACATTAAAGACAATGACTTGAATACATCTTTTTCAGAAATTATTGAATTCAACTTTTGTCTTAATGATGGTTGAAAGCAAAACACATGAAACTTAGTCTTTATTTATTTATTTTTTTTGCAAAAGTCCCTTTAGGGGCTCCGTATGTTAGCCTATCGTTTCACAAATTTACATTTTATTTTATTTTAAGACTTTTGTAACAATACAAAGTGTATTTGCATTAACCTTTTCACAATACATTTTGTTTTAAAGCAGGTTAATGATTTAGTGTTACAATCAAGAAGTATTCTGGAATGAGTAGGCTAAGAGAAGAGTGTGTCAAAATTAATGTTCATATAGAGTAATACACAGCTATATAAGATATGTTGTGTGGTTCATCATGTATCGAATACTGTCATTTTAATTTTTTAAATGAATTGTTTCCTTTTTTTATGCTCTAATTTTGAATGAGATGTGTAAAGTAGAGTCACGAGTTGTTTAAAGTGCCAGTAGATGGCAGTGTTGTCTTTATATACGGAGACTCAGAATGGAAATAGGGGCAAAACCTATGGGGGAAACACTTGACCTCGCATTGGTTAACTCACTTTAGATAATGAAAAGTTTACAACACTCAAACTGAGACCACTGGTGAAAATGCTTCTGTTTGCATTATTTTGTCATTTAAAAAATATATTTACAAATTTCATCACCATATTAATTTGAGTGAAAAGTTAATTGAAAATGAACTGGAAAATGAACATTTTTTTCTTCCCAATTGCCAAATGGGAACAAAACCATGTAACCAGGTAAATAGTTGATAAATTTCTCTTTCTGTTTTCCAAATAATGGCTTGAGTTTATATATATATATTATATATATATATATATATATATATATATATATATATATATATATATATTAAGGAATATTTCACCCGAAAATGAAAATGATGTCATATTTTACTCATCGTCAAGTTGTTACAAACCTGTATGAATTTCTTTATACACAAAATAATTTTTTTTTTTTTTTTTTTTACTTTTTTCCCATTTGGAAGTCAATGTTCAGTCAACTGTTTGGTTTCTGACATTCTTCAAAATGTCTTCTTTTATGTTTAGAAGAAAAAAGAAATTCATACAAGTTTTTGGAACAACTTGAGGGAGAGTAAATGATGACAGAATTTTCCTTTTTGGGTGAACTATACCTTTAACAAATTATCAGTATAATAATGTGAGTGCAGAAGTTAAAAAAATAACATTATTTTTCTTCAATGGAAATAAGACCATAATGTAAATCGTTAATAAATTGGTTTATCTGTTTTCCAAACGAATGGTTTGAGATTTTCTTTGGTGTACTTTTGTATCTGCTATTACCATTATAATAATTTCAGTAAAAAATGGTTAATTGAAAATGTTACCTGAATGAAATCATGTTTCACTTAAACAATTTTGATATATATATATATATATATATATATATATACTGTTAACTAATAAATTCTAACCATATAACTAATGTTAACAAATTGCTTTATCTGTTGTCAAAAATAATTCTTTGAGATTTTTGCATTGATACATTTGTACAAATTTTATTATCAGCAAAATCATTTATGTGAAAAGATTTTTCAGTTTTATTTTTTCAGTTAGCAAGACTTATATTTAATGAATTGCTGTATGTGTTTTCCAAAAGAATGGTTTGACATTTTTGGTACATTTTATGTTACATACCCTTTATCTATAATTGTAATTCAATGTCTTACATTATTTTTTGCTTTATAATTGTTTTACATTTTACAAAGAAAAAAAAGTGTGACTACAGCTCTCATTTATGCCCTCTCACACTTGATTCTGAAATGCCCAGCGAGGTCTTGAGTCGCCTGAAGCTGGCACAGATATTTTATGTCCCTTGACATTCACGCTTTTGCAGACTAAGTGCTTTGAGAGAGTCAGGGGTGGAAATAACAACAGCAGCAGGGAGGCAGTTCAGGTCACTTCACAACGGACGTGTCGTTTCAGTTAAAGAAAATGCCACAAAGCCCTTAAACAACAAAAAGGAGGGAAAATAACCCCCCTCCGGGACGGAATAATATTTAGACAAACCCACTGTCTTCACCTTTATGAACAAGAGCTGGATGGGTCAGGGATGCTTCACATGTTCACATTGTCATTATATTATGGTAAATGCAGCTTGCTTACAGAGTCAAACACATGGTTTGAAACCATACTGTATGTGTTTTAAAAGCACACGCTTCATGACTCATGATGTGAGAATGACAGAATGATGCTTCTAAGAAAAGGGAGAGATTAGTGTCAATAAATGCATGGATTTGTAGAATGCAACCTTTTCAATGATTCATGTAAACAATGATATTAGATTAGATTCAACGTTATATTGTCATTCTGCAGAGTGCAAGTATAGAGGATGTGGAAAATTTCATGTCATGGTCTTTAACTAAATGATACTTTCACTTCATGGATACACAGCAATCCTTCTGTTTTGCTCAAGGGACTTTTTCATGTGCCTTTATGACGAGAGAACGGAAATGATCCAGGTCAGGGATGTGTCTGTGAGAAAGCACTTACGGATGTCATTTGAAAAGGTGACCTATAAAAATAAAAGTGAAAAGGGCATTATAGTATATTTATACTTCACACAACTTATGCACAATGGCTTTAAACTTCAGATTCATTTACAGAGGATAACAATATATTCATGTTTTCTTTTAAAAAAAAAGGAACATATAATCATTCTAAAATAATGAGAATGACGTTGAAAATATTATTAGATGATTTTTTCTTTGCTTGTATTGCTGATTTTGAAAACGTACAGAGGAGGTGTCGTAACAAAAATGGAAGAACACAAACACAATAATGCAAATAGCGTTTTGGAAGAATTTTTTTATTTTTATTTCAAATCATAAATTATAATTTATGTGTGTAAAGGGTAAATGAGCCTAAATCCCTCTGTTTTGGGCTTTTAACTTATAAACTTCCCCATAATAAATAAATACAAATTGTTAAAAATAATTATTTTATTTTTTTTTTGTTGATAATTTAGATTAAGAAACATCACACTACACTATCAAATTACATATTACACACACACAAATATTAATTTGATGGCTGTCCTAAGTTGAAGTAGTCACCGGTGACACTAAATGAGAAATGAGACATACACCTGTGATTCTTGGAAACAACATTACTTTTGTAATAAATAAATAAATAAATAAATACATACATACATACATACATACAAGTAATTAATCTAATTAATCATTACATTTCTGTTAATTTTCCCAGGCCTGGACAAAGCATTAAATTAGCCTCAAGACCTTAATATAATGTAAAATATTATATTTTAATATAATGTTATAAAAATATCTTAATATAATGTTAAGACATCTGTTTCCTGGAGCTTAGTATTTTTTTTCCCATCAGTGATAATCATACAACATTTGCTCAGTAATGCAGTGTGTGGCTGTTGACGAAAACGCGTTTTGCTCCTCTTTGGAACCTCGCGGGCATCCGTAGCATCACTTCCGGAAGACGGCGGGAAAGATGGCAGCCGAGGCAAACGAGTCCAAGACGGTGTTGAATATGAGTCCTACATCCAGAAATGAGGTATGGACGTCATCAATCAACCGTGGTAAAACAGTAGTATGTGTGTTCGACTGCGAAAGAGCGTTTAAAGCGGTTTGAGGATATGTTTGGCTGGGTTTTACGAGGAAGGCCTGCACACATGGAGCAGATGGCGCTGCTTTACTGTGTGTGTGAGATCAGTTGTGTGTAACATGGTTATAAACACTGAATAAACACGTATGTTGTTTCATACAGCTACTCACTAGTCGTTTATGAGTCCCTTGATTCTCTCTTAGTGAAGTTAAGTTTCCTATACTAGTTAAAAGACAAGGTTATAAACCATAACATGTGATCAAGTCAGTTTGAAAACAATCAGATTACAGTCGTAGACAGTTTGTTGAGATAATTGGCCTTTTTTCATGAATGTTCTCATATTGTAGATTATATTTCAATATGACCCATTTATACGTTATTGTATTTGTGCATGCATACGTCCTTATATTTTCCTGGCATGCAGTGTTTTATTTACTTATGAGTTCCTATCGTTTCAAAGCCTTTTGACTTTACAAAACTCACCGTTTGAACAGTGAATACACACAGACATTGACTGAATTGTCTTTATGTGACTGACAAACTACAGAATGCAGATAATTGAATAGCTTGGCACAGACTATGTTCAAGTGTTCTGTTATTTTAATTTTGCTTGTGTGTACACTGTTCTTGTAGGGCTCTTAAAAGATCATCAAACTAGGGGTCCACAGTGAGACTATCTTATGTCATATCATTTTTTTTTTCCATATCATTCAGTTTGTTTCACAATAATGATACACTTCAGTGCAAAAGTGTAAGGTTAAGATTTTTGAAATGCATCTCTAATGCTCATCAAGGCTACATTTATTTGAAAAATACAGGAAAAACGGGAATAATGTGACATACTATAACAAGTAATATTTTAAATCCTAATTTATTCCTGGCAATTTCCAGGATGTGAGTCACATGATCCTTCAGAAATATTTTTTTCTGAATGTTGTTCCTCAAACGTTCCTCTCATTGGTTGCCGTCCGAGGAGCAGATAAACTATAACAATCAGAATATAATATCACACCCCTTAAGCGGTACTAACTGCAGTGGAAAAGCAAACCGAGCTAAAGCGAACCGTCATACCACGCAGCGGAAAAGCGAAGCAAGCCGAACTGTACTGAGCCGTACCAGCAGTGGAAAAGTGCCATATTACCCCTGTCTGATGCCCCTGGGTAGGCCTAATGTCTAATTTAGTGAATTAAGTGCTTAAACTGGACCAATTGATGGTATTGTACTTACTATTCAGCAATATTATTGATCTGACTGTGCTGATGCTGTTGAATGAGAACTGAACTGAGCTGGATGATGACATAATTTTTGCAGAACTGCTTTTTTTTAGATGAAATTAACTAATTTAATAATTGATGATTTTTACAACAAAACTGAATAACAGCTGAAATGCATCATTTTCCTGTTATCACTGTTAAGCTGCTTTGAAACGGTCTGTATTTATATAAAGCGCTATATAGATGAAGGTTACTTGACTTCACTTGACTACTTCACATTTTTTAGGCTCTCTGTATTTGGAGCTAGATGTAAACATAATGAAAATATTATTTTTACATAAATGATACTAAAATGACTTGAAATATTAAAAGTAATAGCATAATGCACATTTTATTAAACTGAACTTGCTTTACAACCCTTAAAGGTTAGTTCACTCAAAAAAGAAAAATTCTGTCATCAATTACTCACTCTTATGTCTTTCCAAAACCATAAGTGTTTAAACTTGGATTCAACTGCTCTATTCAAATGGATTTCTTTTACAATCAAGCGTCAGAGTTTTGGGTGAATAGATGTCAATCTAGGGATGGACATTTCTCAGATCTTATTATAAATTCTCGGATCTTATTATTTTTGTTCCAAATTCCGCAGATAAACAGAGTTCTTTTTGGTTGAAATGATATGAATGTAATTCATGACAGAATTTGCAATTTTGGGTGAACTTGCTCTTAAAGGGCATATTGCAGGTTAGAGGACCCAATGAGTCAATCTATAAGAAAAATAATGTAGGTTTTCACTGGAAACATTATTACAAGCTTACCGCTTTGAATCAAGCTAAGGCAAGCAGAGAGTTTTGAACACTGGCTGGTTATGTACTCTCTCAAATATGTATTTGGATAATTGTTAACCCCCAAAAAGCTACGGACTGCAGGCTTAAATTAATGATTCAATGACAAAAAGATGTTTTACTGTCATTTGTTACCACCTGCTGGTGTGACGATGTAATTAATAATCAAAGTTGCTCTATTTCGATCACTTCCATAGAACTTTTTTAACAGTACTTCAGTGATAATATGAATATGTAAGACAGAAATAATGATACTGTGTGTGGTTTAAAAGACAGTGTTTGTGAAGCTGTTTCATACCTACACATGACAACTGCTTTCTCTGGGTCAGATTTGAACGTTCCAGTGTGATTTAGTCAAAGGCCGAGTCGCTGGCATTTAGGTATGAGATCAATTGGGTGTTTTTGAATCGAGATTGCGATCAACAATTAATCTTGCAGCTTTACTGGCTTGGACACTCCTGTTTTAAACCATGATCCAGCTATTGATTAGTTGCTGTGGTTTTTTTCTTCTTCTTCTGCATTTTCTCATCAAGCTTTTTTGGTGCTGATATGGCTCTCAGTCCGCTCTCTCACTTATTATCCTTTTTTTTTTTTTCTCAGACAGGCACCGTGTTTCTGAGTGATTTATTCCTCGAGCGCTCAGCATTCTCAGTGTATGTGTAACTCTGAAATGCCAGCCTACCTGCTGAATGGCAGATCCATGTTTGAAAGAGCAGTTTCCCATAAGCTTGCAGAAATCACTCGAGCCGCCCACTGCATTCGGCCTGGGATTAGGCTCAGTGGGAACAGATAGGATGTCGAGTGAGACTGTTTTTTTTTTTTAATATATGGAGGAAAGCAAGCTCATGGCTATTCTTTGAGTGTCCCGCAACCGTTAGGCTGATGCAGGAACAGCATGAAGAGTTTCGCATTATCAACACCCCGGAAAACACATCTGCTTCCTGCCCACAGCCCGTCCTGCCGAAACAGCAAATTGAATTTTGATTGAAACGGTGACAGTGGCAGCTGTGAGTGGCATATTCAGGGAAATCGAATTGAGAGGAGAGAGCGATACTTTACGGCTGCTGGGAGAGAGACTCATGGCTTTGCTGCAGATCCAGATGTTAGTTCACTGATAGCTCGTCTGCTGTCTGATTATTTGTCAGTGCTGCTTGTAATCGAAGTTTACCTCTCTACTGCAAAATGGTGTATAACTGTCAGAAGTGTTCTGTCTTTTGATCTTGGTTATTTAGTAAAATAATTATGGATGCACCGATATGAAAATTTTGGCAGATACCGATAATTCTTTATATTTGAAAGCCGATAACCGATATATCGGCCGATAAACTTAAATCCAAATTTTCATCTAAGTTTGAGTGCCTGATTACAAAAACAAAAGTATCACAATTAAATCCATGTCCCAAGCGCACAATTAAAATGATGTTCTCATTATAGTGTTGTATAGCCGATATGACAGATTTGCGCTGCACATGTTTTACCGAACCGTATTTTCATTTTTTGAAGAGATTTCAATCATATTTCAGGACATAAAACATAAACAGTGCTCAACAAGTGTCTCAGCTGAAGGGAATAATACATTATTTATCGGCTTTAATATATCGGCCACATTTTCTTACCAGGCCGATAACGATAACATTAAAAATGAACATATATCGGCCGATACCGATATGCTGGCCGATATATCGTGCATCCATAAAAATAATGCTTGTTTATGCATACTATTAACATCCAAGGCTAATCTATTCTGGTCACAACTGGACAGTTCTTAAAGGGATAGTTCATCCAAAAAAAGAAAATGTAGTCATCCTATACTCACCCTCATGTTGTTACAAACTGGTATGATTTTTTTTTTTCTTCTGTTAACACAAAAGAAGATATTTTGAAGAATGCTGGGAACCAGAAAACACTGTAGCCCATTATCATCCACTGTATAGTCAAAAAAAAGTTTCTCAAAATATCTTATTTTATGTTTCACAGGAGAAAGAATGTCATAAAGGTGAGAAAATTGTCTGAATTTGAATTTTTGAGTGAACTTAAAATACATTTTTTGTTATAACATAGCATTTTCTAATAAGCACTTGGTAATACAGCAAATATCTGTGCAATAAATATCAATATAGAGTTACAGACTGAAAACAATTCACCACAAAGTATAGACATGCAAATAAGACATGCATCATGGTAATACAAATATAACATTATGCAGTTACCGGCCTGTCATATAAAACCATACTACAATTGAAAAAAACGCAGACCATTCTGCAGAAAAATTCATTTAAAATGAAATGTTAATAATTGTATGTATCATTCACATTTATTGTAATTCAATTTTTTTTCTTCTAATTTGAGTAACTTAAACTAATTTTTTCAGTCAGTTGCCAAGGCAACATCTGTTGTCTGAGTTTAAGTTTTTTAGAAATCGGCTTTATTAAATTCATGAATTTTTTTTAAAAATAGTTATAGTTAGCAAGAACAATCATGAAGGAAAATATGTTTTGGTTTATAACATTACATTTTTTATAACAAATTGTATTTTCCCTTTCCATCATTAATCAAATTTCCACAATATCTCATTTAATAATTAGTAGAATAATAGTAATAATATTAGTGTACGATAATTATGATAATCATCTTAAATAGAGGTGTAAATTGAGTCCAAAATGTTTCCCCATTAGCTCAAACCACATTTAGAAGTAATCAGAGACCATTAACTCAAAATTCATTCTCAAGGAGTCACAGGAGACATATGCGTGTTAATACAAGATGTAAATAGCAATATTTTTCACTTCTTGTCCGATCACCTGAGACGAATGTACAAGGTATAATCAGGTCTGTACAATGACACAGATTTGGGGCTTTTTTTAGAAATCCTTCCTCTCCCATTGTCCTTATTTTCTAGCACACTGCTCTTACTGCACACACACGTACACTTAGACCTACTGTACTTGTACTTTACTGTTCTAGTTCTTATTCTATGTCCTCTCTCTTTCCTCCAGCCGCCCAGCCCAGGAGAAATGGAGCAGCGACAGAGAGAGGCCAGCTCAAGTTCATCTGAGAATGGAGACAGTGATGGTGATGAACGCGGGAGGGTTGTTGGTGAGCTTGCCCTTTTGTTTTTGTTTGGTTCTGTAGCATTCAAGCAATAGTCACATACTAAGCAGCATTGCAACACCATCAGCTTTTATAGTGTTTTTTTTTAATCCAAAAAAATGTTGTGCATTCACCTTCATTGTTCTGTAGAACACTATAGAAGATCTTTTTCAATGTTTTAACTGTTTTTGTCCTTACAATAAAAGCCAATGGGATCCAGAACAACATTACACCCCTTTGACTTTCATTATATAGACAAAAACAAAGTCATACAGGGTTGGAACAACATAAAAGTGAGGAAATTATGACAGAATTTCTTTTTGGCTGAACTGTCCCTTTAAATCATAATGCCACTGACCCTATGTCCTCTGAATATTACAGTTAAAAATAATCCAAAGTGTAACTCCTGTAGAACAAACCGTACATCTGATGACCAGAATTCTGTTGCCTCAGCATTAAATTGGCACATAAGCCTGCTTGTTTCCTCGCAGCTGAGACCTACTTCCAACATTCCCTAAGTCAGCACAAGGACAAACGCTCACCGCGTTACAAAGTAATGCTTCACTGTAGACGCACCCGTTGTGGGTGAACACGACGCGGTTTGTGTCGCTAGAACGTTTCAGTTGATGTGAAAAAATGACCTCAGTCTAAAGACTTGTTAATACGAAGGACTGTCTATATCAGATTGAGTTGTTCACACTAGACTTACTCATGTATACTTTAAGGGAAGAATTGCCTTTATGTGATTGCCTTTTAGTCTTCCTTGACTGTAAAGTATTTTTTTTTTTGGAATATCCTACTTTAAATTATATTAGGCAATCTTTATTCAGAAAGTACATTAAAGGGCATATTGCAGGTTAGAGGACCCAACGAGTCAATGCATAGAAAAACAATGTAGGAACTAGATTTTCTTTAAAATATACGTATAAACACGTTACAGAAGCTTCTGCAGTCGTTTTTGTGAGAACATTTTTCTTCCGGGTCTGAAAATGGGCGTGGCGGGCGCGACGCAATGAGCGGGAGAGCCGTCGATTCACACAACAGGAAAACAATGAATCGCATGACATTTCGGACGCTGAGGAAATACTCGTATGACGGATCAAGCCATAAAGTTATGAGCCTGCTATGCTAAAGAGATCAAGGACAGGCCAGGATAATGTCAGACAGAACGGTCCGAGAAAAATTGTGCTGTGATGTGAGGAGAACCAGTGGAGAACAGGACAGGTGCCTTTTAGGTGAGAGACGTGCTTATACGTTCGCTAACGATATACACTGTGCTCACAATATTGTACAGATTATTATGATCCTACAACAGGCCAGCAGACATTAGTATGTTTAGGGTAGATTTATATACTATTAAATGTATAAAAACTTTACTTGAGTATATTTCTATACTAAAAGCATAGGCTATACTCACGTAAATTTTTAATACATATTTTTCACCTAGGTTATAACATAAACAGAACATTAAAGATTTGAGTATTTAAACAAGTTCTATTTAGGGCATGACATGACTAAGTTACCTATATAACACTATTTGATGCCATTGGTAGTATACGACGATCAATATTCTTGCTTCGGCATACCATGTTGAACTCCATCATATTGCCGGGATGCTAATCATTTGATCTGAAGTGAACGCTACACACGACCGCGTTTTCCGAGCCGATGCGGAAGAGAAATCCCGTCTCTTCACCTGCTCAACCCGCACCAGGAACGAAAGATAGGCTATATAGCACCGTCACTTTTATTGTAATGGAAACTTGTGGACTCGATCTTGAAGTCCTGACAGGCTGGAGTTTTTGCAATCTCCACAAACACAATAATTTACAATGACGATGATAAATTAAAATGCAAAAACTAACGAAAGCACACTGACTGACGAGCGCTCTCACTGAACACCAGCCTGCTCTCCACTGAGCCGAGGCTGAGGCTCCCTGATATGACGTCAAATGACGCGATGTTGAAAAAAAGCAGTTTTTACTAGCAGTCCAAGAAACGCTCACTTTATCTTCTAAATTAGTGCCCGTATGTTGTTTGAAAACATTTTAAATCCTGCATTAACTTTTCATATGGTATTTTCATACAAGGTTATCTATAAATTTCGATTTTTTTTTACCTGCAATATGCACTTTAATTACATTTTTGAAAAAGAAAAAAAAATTATCCAAGGAAAATATTAGTATTTTATTCATCAGCTTACTCTGTATGATATAGTTTTTTTTTTTTTTTTAAAAACTCTTTATTTAGCATTTTTCTTATTACAACACAACATACAAAGACAAAGAACAATATGATATTAGTTTTTAGTGTCTAAGGAAATAAAACAATGCATTGCCAGCCAAAATGTCATAATTGTGACAGTTGGATGTGAGCCTTCCCTTTTTGTGATGGATAAGATTCAGAATTGTAAAGATATTTATGCTCATTGTAATGAATATTACTTTACATCCCGACATTGCATGTTGGTGTGGAAAACAATGCTACTTTTGAATGACTTCATATTAAAATATTTGAACTACCTTTCAAAATGTTGGGGTCGGTACGTTTTTTTGAAAGTCGTATGCTGCTTACTAAGTATTACTTTGATGCATTTATTTAAAAATAATAGACATAATGTTACAAAAGATTTGTCACTTTTGATATATTTATTGCATCTCTTGAATACAAGTATTCATTTATTTAACAAAATCTGACTCCAAACTTTTGAATGGTAGTGTGTGTTAATATTATGCTACTCTTTGCCTTGGGTGTCTCAAGCAGTCTTGTACGACAATGTCAAGTCAATGATCAGTGTTTTCCCATAAAGGTGTCTCTATCTCAGGGCTCATCTGCATCCGGCCTCGGTGTAGCGCTGCAGACGTGTGTACCTCGCTGCTTCTGCCTCTTTATCTGATTTATCTGCCTCTTTATCTATTGCTCCCTAGTCTCTGGAGCTCATCACTAACAGTCTCACTTCACTAGTTCTCATAGTCCATGTTATCATCCATAAAATGCTTTCAATCATCCCTTCTGCTGAGCTGTTGCACATCCAAAATCTGCCCGAGCGAGAGCAACACAAGCGTCCTCCAGCCTCTTGACACCTGCACAAGGATAGTTTCCCACGTATAGGTCTGATTTTTATAATTTGGCTATGCGCATGTCACCTATTAGGAAGCTGTGTTGTTCACTGGGCAATATGTTTTAAGGACGGCACATTTCACATTTGGCATGCAATTTAGGCACTGTGTGTTCTTTTATCCAACATGATATTGAAAAACAAAAGAATTGCACGTCTGACTTGTCTCACTTATAGGGAAAGCTGTGTTCTAGGAGACCACAGGGACGCAGCATCTCTCTTCAACTGCACTTGTACAGCGTGATGTGACGTCAAAGTCAGTGCAGTGCAGTGCTATTTTAAACTCTATTCATCAGATTTCGTAAAAAAAAATGTATCACAGTTTCCACAAAAATATTAAGCATCACAACTATTATCAAATTAATATCAACTGTTATCAAAGTAATAAAAAACGTCTCTTGTGCACTAGAATGATTTCTGACTGGAGTAATGATGCTGAAGGTGTAGCTTTGCCATCACTGGAATAAATAACATTTTAAAATGTATAAAATTTAGGGCTGTATATTTCTTTTTTAATCGTGATTAATCGCACCCTTTTTGTGCTCGACATTAAGAGCGAAGCTGCCGCAGAGATAGAGCTCCATATTGGGAAATGTTACCAGCTGTCTGGGAGCCATTTCACACTGCGACTGCAGCAATTACGCATTTCAAGATCATTTAACAATAATCTTCCCATCATGCATTTTTAAACCTCTGCACTGTTGTGTGCGTGTTGTGATAAGTCATTATCGTAAATGTCTTCGAAAGAAGAGTGAAAACTGCATTGATAAAAGCTTCACTGTTTTTGTTCTCTTTCTTTGGTGCCTGTGTTTGAACTGACAAAAGGATCTGCGAGAACACAGCAGGTGTTGAGTCACAGGCCCAGTCGTGAGCTCTTTATGATTATTTCATGGGCTTTTATGCTCCCTGGCACTGATTCAGTGCTCAGTTATTGGCTTCTGTTGGTTTGAATGTCAATTGAGATTTGAGAGAATCATCGACTGAGTCATTCTTAAATAGAAATGCAAATCAGTCTTTGACTCCAAGCATGGATTGGGTTTCCCAAACACCACCATAACTCGCTGCTTTCATAAAGGTGTGATGCATCATTGGAGAAACTAGCTTAGTTTATTATTTGCTTGTTCGAACAGAGTAATCTAGGACCATAAATGAAGTGGGTGCCATCCAGTTGAAGCAACAGAGATTATCCCATCTAGAGTAACTCCCAGCTAAGTACTTTATGCCTATGCAAGCTTCAAAGAGATGACCCTAGCAAAAGGAAGAATGTTGGCAACGTTAGGTAGTTGTAAAATATGGGTTGGTTCGGAGATGGCACAGCTTGCCAGAGGTTGTTTTTTTTTTAATTCCCAAGACAAAAGATCCAAAACAGACCTTTTTCTTCTTAAAGACCTTTGAATTAAATCAAATCATTCCAAACAACGCTAGACGGCTAATAATCAAACATTGTTCAACTGCATAATTCAATGTGCACAACCTATATATGTGAATTTTATGCTCAGATCACACATAATTCTATTGAATGGTTGATTAAAAGGGTGCCTTGTTTGGGACCAATGGATGTGTCTAGTTTTAACTCTGACGATGACTTGAATGTAATCTGTGTAAAATGTATCGTATTCTAATAATAGGAATCATGTCTAAACTGTACTCTGCTTAGAGCAGGAAGTTAAGAGACCACAGATAACATGTAATTTATGTTGAGAGGAGGAGAAACAGCAATCTCTGAACTAAAGACCGAGTCTAATTGGTCAGAAGTCTTCTGAATCTTAAGACACGAACAAAGCATTAGACAAGTATACCCCAGAGCAAGATCAGATGGGTTAACGGCTTCATTCAAGCCTAACTATTCTCGTCTCACTTTTCTTTCTTTTACATAGAACACTGGACTCAACAGAAAAAAAATACTAAGCTAAGTTTTGCCACAAAGTTTAGCAACAACCTTTAAACGCCTTCAACTTCACGAGAAAGACTTTATACGCCAACACACCAAACTGATTGGCCCCCAAGACATCAATCCAGACACGACGAGATAGTTACGGCCCGTTCAAGTAAAACCATTCAGTTCTTTCAAAATACAGTTTATTAAAAAACAGTCCTATAAATGAATGAATAATTCACTTTGAGCTAAATTGACCTGTTTCCTTTACCATCCTAACAAGAAACTATGCTTCAAACCACAGGTCGAGAGGTGTAGTTCCAATCACACAGCTTTGCGATTCTGTTTGTTGGTGCTATATTCTTGGGAAACACTGAAATGTTGACCTATGCTGGTAAAGACAGAACATTTCAAGGATATTTTAAGGGATATTCCACTGAATTTTCATTTTAAATTATGTTATTCCCTTAACTAAGATGAGTGTATGCATACCTCAATCGCTCTGGTGCGCGAGACACTTTGATAGCACTTAAAGGGATACTCCACTTTTTTTGGAAATAGGCTCATTTTACCACTCCCTCAGATTTAAAATGTTGAGTTTTACCGTTTTCAAATCCATTCAGCCGATTTTCTGATATTTAGAAGAATATCAGTAACAAGACCGTTTCTGGTCTCATTGACTTCCATAGTATATATTTTTCCTACTAAGAAAGTCAATGAGACCAGAAACTCTCTGGTGGTTACTGATATTCTTCTAAATATAAAAAAAAATCGGAATTCGAAAACATTTTGAATGATGGCAGCTGTCTGAAACCTTGTCTTAATGTTGTGTTACCCTGAAGCAGATAGAGATGAGGGTATCACTGGTTCAGCTCAACCTGAGAGCTCTGGCATCAGAGATGGGAGTCCACGAGCAGGCAGTCCTGTGGCGAGGGCCAGCGGTTCAGACAGCGACAGCAGTGAAGACGACAGTGATGATGGTGTAGTGCACAAAATAAAGAGTAGTGTCACACATATCAAGGTGAGTTACATTCATACAGCATTTTAGTAATGTTAAAGGGATAGTTTACCCAAATATGAAAATTACCCCATGATTTACTCACCGTCAAGCCATCCTAGGTGTAAATGACATTTTTCTACAGATGAATACATCAGAATTATTTAAAAAAAAAATGTCCCAATGTTCCAAGCTTTATAATGGCAGTGAATGGCCGTTTCTGTTTTGAAGTCTATGAAAGTGCATCCATCCATGATAAAACCCCACGACTCTGTGGGGTTAATAAAGGCCTTCTGAAGTGAAGCAATGTGTTAGTGTAAGAAAAATATCCATATTTAAAACTTTATCGACTAAAATATCTAACTTCTAGCAGACGGCCTACACAAGCCGTTTACAGTGCCATACGTAAGTGACAAGCTGCACATAAAAACTGATCACAGCCTTTGCGATTTCAAAATCACGATTAGTCGAATCGATTACATGGAAATAGTGATCCAGTGCGCAGCACTAGTTTATTAAACACTTAAAGGGATACTCCACTTTTTTTGGAAATAGGCTCATTTTACAACTCCCCCAGAGTTAAACAGTTGAGTTTTACCATTTTCAAATCCATTCAGCCGATTTTCTAATATTTAGAAAAATTTTAGTAACCAGAGAGTTTCTGGTCTCATTGACTTCCATAGTAGGAAAAAAATATACTATGGAAGTCTATGAGACTAGAAATAGTCTGGTTACTGATATTTTTCTAAATATCAGAAAATCGGCTGAATGGATTCGAAAACGGTAAAACTCAAATGTTTAACTCTGGGGGAGTTGTAAAATAAGCCTATTTCCAAAAAAGTGGAGTATCCCTTTAAATAGTGCTATTTAATATGAATCTCTGTGTGTGTGTTTGTTTGTTTCAGCGTGCCTCTGACGATGAGAGCAAAAACAGACAAAGAAGCTCCTCACCTGAGAGGTAAAACTTGTGTTATTCTTGATGTAAGAAAATCGATGTAGAATTGAGACCTTTCTTAAAAACATTGCTGTTTTTCTCTATTTCAGGGATGAAAAGAGGTCACAGTCAAGATCTCGCTCTAGATCCCGCTCTAGATCGCGCTCCAGATCTCGCTCTCCTCAAGAACGTTACGGAAGGGGTCGTAGGTGAGGGATCCTGGTGATTATGTTCTTGACAAATTTGCTGTTGTCTCTTTCGTCTAAATGTAAAAAATTGCACCTTTCAGTTGACATTGACATTTTCTCTGCTATCCTCGCATCAGATCCAGGGAGCGTGAGCGTGATCGAGAACGCTATGGCGATCGGGATCGTTACGAGCGGCGCTCCAGCAGAGAGAGGGATTGGGAACACAGGAGGAGGGGAAGGTCAGCCTCGCCAGACAAAAATGATAAAACTCCCACCGAGCAGCCTCCAGTGAAGAAGAGGAAGGAAGGACTGGACCCCATCCTGACCCGCACCGGTGGGGCCTACATCCCACCGGCCAAACTGCGTATGATGCAGGCTCAGATCACTGACAAGAGCAGGTTGGTTTCACTTTTTGTAGATTTAAATGCATTTATTTCATACTGCCCATCGCAATGAATCAATTCAAAACTCTTATTTTATGGAAATTATTTTGAATCGGCACATAATTTTTCCTACTAAAATATTTTTGCAAAAATACTCTGTATCAATCAAAAGTCACTACGATTTAAAAAAAAACTTTTTATGCATTAATTTGATCAAAAGTGACAGTAAAGACATTTATAATGTTGCAAAAGATTTCTATTTGAAAAAAAAAAAAACACTGTTCTTTTGAACTTTCCTTTCACAAAGAATTTAGAAAAAAAAAAGATTCATGGTTTCTACAAAAATATTAAGCAGCACAGCGGTTTGATTCTTTGATTGAAAATTTTAAAACATTAAGTTTGCATTGTAATAATATTACATAATATGACTGTTTTACTGTATTTTTGTTTAAATAAATGTAGTCTTAAAGAATGCCAAAGTTACGACGTCACTTTGTAGGCCAAAACGCGAGTGAGTTAGCATTTTAGCACTTCCGGTTCCCTCGCCCTAAAGTCTATGGGTTTTTTGAATGGGTTTTTGCTAAATCGCCTGAAATAAGGTCTGTGGTTAAAAAAGCCTCTAAATATTTTCACGTTTTGATCTATGACTTAACACACCAGTTATAACCTGCTTGTGGTTTTTTAAACTTTATTGTGTCATCTTGTGTTTTTTTAAAACTTTATATAGGCTTCAAAATGTATAAATTTTGGATTAACTTATAAAGATTATCTTGATAGACAAAACGTGTAAGGGTCACAACTCTTTGTTGAACACATATCTTATTTTTTTGCGATTTTCCATAAGTCTATAGGAAAAATGCATAGCTTTTTCGATCGAGGGAACCCTTGCGCCGCTATCTTCCGTGTTGTCCTACAAAGTGACGTCATAAGCGACTTCATTAAAAAACATTAAACAAATCTAACGGACCCCAAACTTTTGACCAGTAGTGTATGTAGGTAAATCTAGTTTTTTACTTTTTGTTATTTTGGTGTTTGTATAAAAATTATTCATTCAATTTCCCTGGCGTTCTTGTGAAAACCAGTGGGAGAAAATAGCTAATTGTTTTTATTAAAACATTTATATTTAATTGGCTTCAAATTACTAATATTTAAGCTATTTTTAGAGCAGATACATTACTAAAGTATTTATTGAATACTGTCAAAAGGCTGAAAAATATATAGAAATATTTTTAGGTTTATTGCCCAGCTCTAATAAGGAGTGATCATCAGGGTAGATTGGTGGTCTTTGTTGGCTTTCACCTATATTGATTTTGGAGTCTTTTCAGACATTGTGATAAGAATAGATTGTGATTTATTGAGGATGGGAAAAGCATCCACATGAATTCAATGAAGGGGTCGATTAAATATCCTCATGCAGGAGAATAGAGGTCACCAGCCAGGAAATATAAAGGTGTCCCTTGGGGATGTGGGATATCTATAGCAGGAGTGGAGTGTGCTTGAGGCCAGACACTGAAAGACAGGTGTTCGAGACAATACATCAGAGATCAGTCTCAAGAGCAGCTAAGGGCAGGAAATTAGATGGGGGTGGGGTAGCTGTTCTCCAAGAACACGAGTACGACTCGCAATCAGAGTTTTCTATGCATGCAAGTACAAACTGGAGAGCAGACAGCATTGAGGGTTGTGTCATGCTATTACAGTTGTGCAAACTGTGACCTTTAAAATGGTCTATTATAGTGCCCTAAAGACAAGTATTAGAAATTCAAGATTACCTGCTGTGTTAACAGGCTGAAAGTGTCTCCTACAAGAGATACATGGGATCAGTGTAGTTGGTTTTTCATCCATTCTTTTTAATTTCACAGTTTGGAGTATCAGAGGATGAGCTGGGAAGCCCTGAAGAAGTCGATCAATGGTCTGATCAACAAAGTGAACGTTTCCAACATTGCCAACATCATTCAAGAGCTGCTGCAGGAGAATATTGTGAGGGGCAGGTAATGACTACTGATTTTGTGCTTTACTGATCTATAGCTTTGTTCCTAGTGTGCTGTCTACATAGGCAGCTTTTAAAGACGTCATAGGCACAATCCCAGCTTGAAAAATGTGGGCAGCATTATGCTACCTCCTAAAATGTTTTCATTTGGCCAAATGCTCAATTCCATCATGCATGTTACAAGTGCAGTGGACAAAGATGAGCTTTTATGCACCTGTAATCTTATAGTACTGTGCACCGAAACGCATTGGCGAAATAAAGAGTTGTGTCTTTTCAGCTCCATTTTCTCACTGTTTTGATCTCTCCATTTCATAAGTGTTGGTGGTATATTCCCAAAGCTTCTTTCGCTTTTCTTCCACGCACCTTGTTGATCTTGTAAAGTTGCACCAGAACGACTACAAAACACTGGTGTGTCTCTCTCCAGGGGTCTTCTGGCCAGGTCTACACTTCAGGCCCAGGCTGCCTCTCCCATTTTCACCCATGTGTACTCTGCTGTGGTGGCCATCATCAACTCCAAGTTTCCTCAGATCGGAGAACTTATCCTCAAGAGACTTATTCTCAATTTCCGAAAAGGTTACAGGAGGAATGATAAAGTAAGCGTTCAGGTTTCTAAATAGAGCACTGATTTTAAATACTGTTCTAATTTTTCTTAAATCTTTTCAGCAACAATGTCTGACAGCGTCCAAGTTCGTGGCTCATCTCATCAACCAGAATGTGGTACGTTCTTCTAGAGCTTTAACAGATTTTTGTTCGGACTGTAGAGTAGGGGTGTTTAAATGTACTGTATTATTGTAATTTCTTTTTTTTTTCTTTTTTCTAAGGCCCATGAAGTCCTGTGTCTAGAGATGTTAACCCTGCTGTTGGAAAGACCCACTGATGACAGTGTGGAGGTTGCCATCAGCTTTCTAAAAGAGTGTGGTCTCAAATTGACAGAGGTCTCTCCCCGAGGCATCAATGGTACATTTTTAACTATTTTTATTAGTTCTCAGTATTGAATGGATTTTATCTTACGTCATATCTACACCGTCATGTTTTGTTGTTTTTTTTTTTTTTTTTCAGCCATCTTTGAACGTCTGAGGAACATCTTGCATGAGTCAGAGATAGATAAGCGTGTACAGTACATGATTGAGGTGATGTTTGCCATCAGGAAGGATGGGTTTAAGGACCATCCCATCGTCCCAGAAGGGCTTGACCTAGTGGAGGAGGAGGACCAGTTCACACACATGCTTCCTCTGGAGGACGAATACAACACAGAGGACATCTTAAGTAAGATCAGCCACACTTATTCATGCCATTTCAGAGTGTTTACACCTTTTCCATTTCTTCATATAAGGAGAATGAATGGATGGCTGAATTGAGATTTCAGTTAAAACTGGTTTAAGATTTTTATATACAACTGATTTTATATTTTACCATTTTTAGAAGTATTTTTTGCTAAATAGAATTTTATAAATATTGTTTTTGAGATTTCAATAAAGTACTTGGTCAAATTTACAATTTACAGAATTTTAAAGTTTCCGCAACCACTGATGTTGGATTTCAATTGAAATTTAAGGAAATTGAATACTGCCATTCAAAGGTTTGGGGTTGGTAAGATTTTTAGATAAGTCTCTTATGTTTACCAAGGGTGCATTTATTTAGTCAAAAATACAGTAAAAACAGTAACATTGTGAAATATTCTTACAATTTTAAATAACTGTAGCATAATTTATTTAAAGTGTAACTTCTCTTCAACATCATTACTTCAGTCTTCAATTTCTCATGATCCTTCAGAAATCATTCTAATATGCTGATTTGCTTCTCAAGAAACATTTATTATTATTATTAGAGATGCACTGATTGACTGGCGCATGACCGGAACATTCTGACATATGCCGATTTTACGCCGGTCAACTGCACTCGGGTCCCGCATGATTAACGTTGCGCAGCATCAGTATCACACTTGCACACGGAACACATGTAGGTAACCTTGTGAATTACGGCAGTTTCACCCCTTATTTACACCTAGGGCTGCAACTAACAATTATTTTGATATTCGATTAATCGGAAGAATATTTTTCCGATTAATCGGATAAAAATTATATTTCATTTTTTTGTTTATTATAACTAAATAAAAACCCTAAATCAGGGTTGTGGCGAGCAGGACAAGGCCTCGATGATCTGATAATCACTCTTTTGTGTGTTAAACACAATCTACTTAATACAGACAACTTCATTATAAAGAAAAAACAACAAATAAAAAAAATAATATATACATATATGACCATAACCTGTGACAAAAATGCTATTATAAACTACTGTAGATTAGTGGATAACTCAGCAAAACTTAGCCTAGAAAAATCACAAGTGCACAATAATTTTATAAAATCTGAACATTTAGTGAAAAAAAAACATTCCTTTGTGGGGAACAAAATAGAGACAATAAGTGTAGCACTAAATCTGGTAAAACGTTACACATTGCTCTTTGTATTGGTGTAAAATATAGAAATCAGACGCACAGCTGTTTTAAATGTAGTCACTCTTGATCAATTCAACTCTATTTAATGCAATTCCAAAGTTCTTAATGACCCCAGACTTTTGAACTTTTGTTGTGTAGTTTTATTTCTCGTAGTTTCCACTTAAAAAAAATGTTTAGCAGCTAATTACCTTGATACGATCATTATGGATGACTTCATTCTCTTTAAAGCCACCCACGATGGAACGCATGCTGTCAAACCAGAGGCTGCTGTCCCTGCTCTGTCTGTGTGTAATTGAGGGTTTTGCTCTCTCACTTCTCATATTTAGCCTCTGTCTGTACTCTCTACTGATGTTTACGGATAAGCATCTTTTCTGAGACAAAGTGCACTAATTGAAAATCCATACTAGCAGGCCTTTGGGGAGCATGAACAGCCATTATCACATTAAGCTCTTTTTTATGTAATGCGACTAATACACAGCAAATTTTTCTTTATGGGTAATTGCCTCTGATTACATCTCATTGGCACTGACTTAATTGCTGCAAAATGTGTAATTGCAAACAAATGTCTGCTTTACATCAACAATATTCCTTTTGCAGATGTCTTCAAGTTGGATCCCAACTTCCTGGAGAACGAGGAGAAGTACAAAACAATTAAACGGGGTGAGTTAATGACTCGTCAGCTATACGCGTATTCCATTCTTCTCATTACCGCCTATTAAAAGAGATGCCCTCTGATGCACCGTCTCTGTGAGCGCATTTGAATTTTAATTGTGTACTAATTGTACAAAGGATGGGAGACAGCCATATGGTACAGGAAGCTGAAATGTTGGCCCTTGATTGCAACTATTGTAGGCGCTTGTTCTCTGATGCGAAGATGATTACTCCGTTTACAGCTTGAGATGCAAAGGCAATGGAATCCTTCAGCAGTGGAGAAAGTGACAGAACATAGTTATGACCTAAGACGCCAACAGGGGACCTGGGCAAAGAGTGTGTTCGTGTTGCGCTTGTCACGTTTTCCTTAAGTCAAATTTAAATGAATCCCAAGTAGGATGAAATTTTAATTGGTAGAGGCTTAGACAGCACTGGAGTTCTGTACAGTAATGCAACTTTTCTGGCTCTGTATTAAAGACAAGTAAACTGTCTCAAATAACGGCATGAAGTCTGGTCTACTTTACAGCTTATTCTGGCCCAGAACCATTCAGATAGTTAGGAAAACTATCTTATTTTGTTAAATATAGATAAAAAATAAAGTAGTTCACAAAAACAAGCTATAGTGATGTATAAAGTGCAGTTAGTTTGAATAAAACCTAAACAGAAATGCATTTTTTATGTGTGTGGTTTCAATGCCTGATTTGTTGTAATTCAGATCCGTATATACAAAATATTTTCAAAATTACCAATGAAATTAAAGTTATTTATGCATTTATATTAAAACACAACTCAATTGAAATTGTAAACCTAAATACAAAGTGAAACTAGTAACCCTGCGTCTGACCAACATATGAAGTTACCAACCACAGTTTGATGTGTTTTTGTGTGTTTAATATTTAAAAACATTTAATTTTTTTTTTTTTATTAAAAATGTAATTAATCTGTCTTGTTTTCATACCTCAGAAATTCTTGACGAAGGAAGCAGCGATTCTGGCGATGACGCTGGCGGCAGTGGAGATGAAGACGATGAGGAGGAAGATGAAGAGGCGGCAGCTGCTGAAGGTAGTTATTTTAAATATTAATGCTTTACTCTATACTTTGAGAAAAACGGGCACAACTGTAATAATATTCAGTGTTACTATATGACTGAGGGGTAGTGGTGCTATCCTCTGAGTTGGTCTGAGTTGTTATGCGAGTGCAGGTGTTTGAAAACAATGCTTTGCATTAGTTCCCCTAGATAATCCTGCTCATATGGTCCTTTGGGTCTTTGTGTTGAGGAAAACTGCATAAAACACTATGGCCATCAGGAGAGACTGCCTGTTCCAGAGTGTAGCACAGTTCAGGCATTAAAGGGATCATATCTTTTTTTTTTCTCCCTAAGGTCCACTAACAAAGTTTCTTGCACTTAAAACAGTCATAATTTAGTTTTAGGCCAGAAACATGCTCTACTGAAGAATGCAGATGCTTGGGCAATCTAATGTCCTGTTAAATATTTAGATTATTGTGCCAGTAACAAACCTCAGCACGCAAGTGGGGGATGGTTACTTTTAGATGCTATAAACATGTATACTTCAACACGATTTTCTTCAAATGGTCATGAAAGTAGCTGATGTGACTAAGAAAACTGACCATGGCTGGGGTGTCCACATTTTTGTAAAAAGAGGCTAAATTCGTCATTGTTGACACAATTTTTTATATTTATTGGTTAATTTTCATTAACAGAAACTAATTTAATTTTCATTAACAGAAACAATCACATCTGTAAAATTTTAAAGGGTACAATTTAGATATACTTACTGAGTTAGAACTAGGGCTGTCAAGCGATTAATCGCATCCAAAATAAAAGTTTGTGTTTACATAATATATGTGGGTGCACTGTGTATAATTATTTTGTATATATATAAATACACACACACACGCTTGTATATATTTAAGAAATATTTTCATATATATAGATTTATATATAATTTATATTATATATAAATATACATATTTTATAGTGGTGCAACGGATCATCACTGATCCGTGATCCGTTCGGATCAATGTCTTCGGTTCGGCACACACGTGATCCGCGGATTGATTATGAAAAAAAAATAAAATAAATAAAACGTGCGCATGTTGTTCAGTCAACGCACAACTTCGTCATAGCGAGCGGAGGAACGGAGAAGCTTGAACGCCCCGCGTCATTTCAGGGCTCCAGACCAGACTGCGACCAAAATTTGAGAGTGTGCGACTGAATTTTACATCCAGTCGCACATGTGCGACCAGTAAATTTGCCACACGTTAAACGCATGGTAAAGCGGCGCGTCAATAAATCCGTGACAAGAATAGCGCGCGTAAACATCTGTGGGAGGGAGACGGAGACAAATATCACAACCTGATGTGCGTCTGAGCAATCAGCGATCTATCGACTCGTTAGTCGTTACCTAGCAGCGAATGCAAACAAAATGAAAGTGGAACGAAAATACGCCACTCATTTATGATTAGGACCGTAGAGCAGCAGCAGCGATCCATTGACAAAATAAAGCCCCGAACTTGCCAGTCGCGGGCCGATCTCGCTCACGCAACTACTGTTACTAGGAGATCCAGTGAAGAAATCCATTGAATTCGCCTCAGAATTAATAACATCAACACCACGAGATCCAGTGAGAAACACTCCGATTCGGCGCAGAGTTCTGTTATAAACCATATCAGATCAAACAGAGCTGACGTGGAAACCAGGAGAAACACTTATAGAAGGCTTTCAGTCCACAAATCAGCCTATATATGATAATGTGTAAGAAATAGTCAAATGCTTACAAGTAGCCTACTACACATCACTTCAATAATATCATAAATAAATGTTTTATTTTTTTGAATTTTTTATGTGATTACCAACACATTTTTTGTTTATCCTTTAAAGATTGTCCTAAAATGAAAAAAGTACGATGATATTTTCACTACTTTTATTAATTGATATTAAGACATTATAAATGATAATAACTAAGTTAATTTCATCTACACCCTAAATTAAGCTTAGTGATTTATTGTCAGCCCCAGTGCTACCAGAATTTTTTTTTTTTTTTTTTGTAGAACTCGCTGTGAGTTCTCATTTGAGGTGATGCTGCCCTCAACTTTCAGTCTGGAACCCTGTGAAGTTAAAATAAAACAGAATATCATAATGTTAAGTCTATTTATTATTAAAGAATTTGTCAGTAGGCTATTACAGTTATTTTGGGGGAAATTTGAATAATTGCATTGCAAGCTGATTTAAGGTGTGCCCCTAAATTTTCTGCTTGTGCTCCTAAAATTTTCAGTCAGGGGCAACAGCGCTCCTAGTAAAGTTAGTCTGGAGCCCTGCATTTAAATCACCTGTATGGGACCATTTTGGATTTTCCATCAAATATAACATGAAGGAAAGAGTTGCATAATCAGACCGGGCTAAAGCCATCACAAATGCTATCGGTGTGTTTATAGCTGCAGACATGAGGCCACATTCGGTTGTGCAAAACGAGGGCTTTAAACACATACTGAAAGTACTTGAGCCACGTTACGACATGAACTGTGTTGGATGAACTATCCCGAGCATCTGTTGCGCTCACGACAGGTGGACTTCTAGGGGAATAGAGCTATGTGACGATAACCATTATCGTCACATAGCTCTCACCGCTCACAATTTAAAAGTGTTAATAATCAAAAAGACAAAACTTATGTTTATTTGTCTTGTATTTTTTTTTTTTTTTTTTTTTGCTGATCCGAAAAATGATCCGATCCCTGACCCTGATCCGAGAAACGATCCGATCCGTGAGTTTTTTGATCCGTTGCACCCCTAATATTTTATATATAAATAATATTTTTTTCTTAAATATACATGCATGTGTGTGTATTTATTTATATATATATATATATATACACAATAATTACACACAGTGCACCCACATATATTATGTAAACACAAACTTTTATTTTGGATGCGATTAATCGCGATTAATGGTTTGACAGCCCTAGTTAGAACAATGCTCCTATTAAAATGAACAACATTGTTTCTATGGTAGGCCTAACTAGTATGGTTTTATGGTATTTAGTTGTCAACACATTTAGTATAGATACAAACGCACGAAACTATCTTATAACAAAAGTTTCTGTTGCCATGTTTCATTTGCCTACTCCCCTAATATTTAATACATGTCTACCTAATAATATAATACAATTTTATATGAATATCCCACATTTCTGTCACTATAGCATGTTTACTGTTAGTGTTGCTACTGTAAATCCATAAATGTGTGTGATTTGTGGACTGTTTTCCATATCAGTATTGTTCAGAATGTCAGCGCTGGTTTCATCTGGCTTTAAACTAGTTTAAATCACCAACACGTGTGTTTGTATCAGAGACCTCTGCACACTCACTCAAATGCTCCTCAATGAATCTTACTGCACTGTTTACTGGTCGCGTGATCGAGATGGTCAGAGAGAAAAGGCATTTATTCTGAGCTCATGCTGCGCTGTATTTTGGGCTGAGCTAATAAATGGTGTGGCGCATTTAATGTTTCTCATAAGCAACAGAAATGGCAGTGTTTATCAGTTTTCACCTTTTTTTGACTGAAACTGCATGATTTGCCACATATAATGTATTTTGATAGACAAGTTGCGGGACATTTTAAATTTATAATAATTGATTTTTTTATTAAAGTGCTACAACATTTCTTACTTATTATCAGTTGAAATTGACCACGTTGTAAAAAAGCAACGTCAAGCACCACTCTTCTGTTTTTAGATGCTCCCAAATTTGTTGGATGTCCTGAACTTCTGTAGGATGTCTCGTTGATTTATAATTTAAGGGCTCAAGTACTCCGTGTCATTGAGGGCTTTTGTTCTTGTGATCAGATGAGCTTAGCTCTCTTAATTGCTTCTTCAAAAAAGGATTTGTGCCTGTGAATTAAAATCACTCTGCAAAGTACAAGTACTATTGACCTCTGGAGGGAGACATATCATATGACAAAAACTTCAGCCAGACTGTTTTATCTTTACAGCTCTCTTTCCTGTTTTTCTTCTCTTTATTTAGAACAAGAAAAAGTCACCATTTTCGACCAGACAGAGGTGAACTTGGTCGCGTTCCGTCGAACGATTTACCTCGCCATCCAGTCAAGGTGAGTGTTATGGTGTGTCATGTGATCTAGTCTCTCGTGTCTTCCTTGCTTCCGTCAGCAGAACGGGAGCAGCTCTAAAAGCCACCAGAAATAGTATGTGCAAAGGCTTGTTTTGGCTGGAATTGAAAAACAACCTACATTTTGAGATCCCATGTGCAAGAGTTGAGGGTGTTTTTTCTTGTTTTTTGAGACCAAAGCCCCTGAGGGCCCCAGCATGCAGATTAAATTAAAAACGTTTCAGATTAGTTGTTTTTAATTGAATTTTGCCGGCACAGAGCAGCAGAAGTGCCATCACAGAACAGAAATTTCTGTGGTGAAAGACTTCAAAATTAGATATTCTTTGATATCAAGAGTGTTTGAAAATTGTTTAAACAACAATTCAGAAGCTGATTGACGAGAGTAGGAGGAAGGCAGCATGAGTCTATTTCCCTTGGCATCACAGGACCGTTTCACAGTATGATCGTCCCCATAGGCATGGAGCTGGAGTCCAATATTTAATATACATTTAATATATATCTTGATATTGGAGTTTGGGTTGTTGAAGCATAACATGTCCCTGAGGGTTTTTTCAATCATCAAAAATCAGTTTTTAATCTAAATTCATGGTATTTAGGAATTTCTTTTGAAGGACCAAGTTTGTTTTAGTTTCTGTTCACCTTTCTGTTATGTTTATGTCTACATTTTTTTACAAGTGCAAATATTCCACATAGTCTCTCAATTAATTGTTTTAGTTTCAAAGAGTCATTATAATTACAAGAATAATGATTCTAAAAGAATTGGCCAAATCTTGTTTAACATAGTTATTGCACAACTATATATACATAAAGTATAAATGTAACAATATTAATGTTGTCAAAAAATGTATATTTCAATGCATTAATACTGAAATATCTGAAACGGTTCCAATACTCCTTTTCTGCAGTATCGATACACCTGATACCAGCTTCACGTTCTCACTCTCATAAAGCCGCCACTCTCATTTGCGAGAACCAAATTCATTTCTTTTTCATGGCTTATTGCACTCAAATACATACAAAATGTCAACTCTTGGCAAGTTTTCAAGTAAACAGTCAGTTAGAACGTAAATAGTTGGGAGAAATTGGCATGTTGTTTAACAGTATATTGAATCCGTGCATAAGCTTTTAAAGTGACAGCAGCCTAACAAACCTGTACCTCACTCTAGTAAATGACATGTTATTTTGTTTAGATGTCTATTGACTGTTCAGAATCATGGGAGCATTGTGGTCTCTATTTGAAACAAAAAAATGTGATTAGCAATTTATCCAGAATTGTTCAGCTCTACTTTATTCTATTGTATTTATTTGTGTTATAAGTTTGAAATTCCAGTATTGTGACAACACTAAGAAATAGGTGCAATATTTCATCAAATAAGGAAGGAATAATATTTAATTTAAAATAAATATAAATGAAATATTATTAATATTTTATTAATAAATATTTAATCAAATGGGAATATTATTTAATATTTTTAGGGATGCACCGATATAAAAATTTTGACCGATAAGCGATAATTCTTAATAATATCGGCCGATAAACTTAAATCCAAATGTTTATCTAATTTTGAGAGCCTGATTACAAAAACAAGTCTCAAAGTTAAATCCACGTCCCAAGTGCACAATTATAATGATGTTCTCATTATAGTGTTGTATAGCCGATATGTAAAATTTGTGCTGCACATGTTGTCCTGAACCAGATTTTCATCTTTTGAAGAGATTTCAATCATATTTCAAGAAATTCAAAAACATAAACTGTTCTCAACAAGTGTCTCAGCTGAAGGGAATAATACATTATTTATCGGTTTTAATATATCGGCCACATTTTCTTACCAGGCCGATAACATTAAAAATGAACATATATCGGCCGATACCGTTATGCTGACCGATATATCGTGCATCCCTAAATATTTATATATATATATATGAAGAGTTCAGATGCAAAAGCCTCTAAATGCCATTTGAAATTTTCTTCTTTAATGATGATTTTTATCAAGCTTGTATATTTAAGTTCAGTGATTTCACTTAAATGGCAATGATAATTATCTATTAATTGTTATTTAAGTGAAATTACTGAACTTAAATATACAAGTTTGATAAAAATCATCATCAAAGAAGAAAATTTCAAATGGCATTTAGAGGCTTTTGCATCTGAACTCTTCATATATATATAAGAATATTATTTTTTTATAGAGGTAAATAAATACCGTTTTTACTTTTGTATATTTTTCCTTAAACATATAATTAACACACAAAGACATGAGCGTTTATGTCATGCGTTTTAAAATATGATGTGAGTGAATTTTTCAATCTGAGTTTGAAATGATATTCTATATTATTACTAAAACATTTCAATGAAAACAGTCTTGTGAATATTTATAGTGTGCATTTTAAATTGACACAAGAAACCTGTTGAATCAGAGATTTGGATGCATGGACATTTCGCATGGACAAGTTTCAACTGATTCATGTAGATAAATTGAACTTACTGCTATTTTCTTACTGCTATCTAGTACAACATCTGACTTTGCTCTCTCTAAATTGTGAGTCTTGACAAGGAATGTTTGTGAGACCAGCCAAATGACCCTTGAGGAAACTTAATGGTTGAATTAAAAGTTGAATTCAACATGTATATTCATGTGTCCTGTCCTTAGCTGGCACCAGGTCACACTCCGATGCGAGTGTGTTTATGGCCCTGGACTCCCAGGCAGCCTCTCACAGCTTCCCTTTTACACTTCTATTGACCTAAAGCTTTGAAAAATGTTTCCCTCATGGAGAATGTTTGAAAGCACTAAACCTTTCAGCTTCTCGAGGCTGCCGAGCACTCGCAGGTCAAAGATGCAGCAGAGGCTGTTTCTGTATTAAGATCTTAGCGGTCAAAAAACAGGCTTTGAATGCATATTGGCTTCATTTAACCTGTTTTTTTGTTAAGTCACTCTGTATTTGATCACAGATGTATGGCACCACGTCAAAGAATATGCGGCTGTGATGAGGCTTCATTCGTTCAGTTGCCATATATGTAACACATCTTTAAATATTTTACCAGCTGGGTGTCGACTGGCTTCCCTATAATGTCTTTAAACTTGCCCACTGGCTGCTGGATTCACCTCTTAAAACAAACCTGGTGTCTCGCAGCGCTCTACTGCAGCTCACTGCCCTGTGTGCAGAAAGAGAGCACAGACAAAAAAGAGAGGCACTACAATGTTCTCACTTTCCCTTTCTACAAACTGCCTTTGAGGTCGAGTTGAAACTGATTTGGCCCACAAATCCCCCGCCCGGAGGCGAGGCGAGGCTCGTGTATGGACAGGAAAAAGTCAGGAAATTAGATTAGCCCAGCTATTTTTCTGTTGAAATCAAGTGTATTCGTTTTGTGGCACAACCCTGTGATTCCCATAGTGAGGTTTTCTTTCTTTTTATATAGAGAAGAGAGGAAGTGATGGAGAGAGTAGATAATGACCTCTGTAAGTTTGGCCATTTAAAAATTTTTTTTATAATCTACTGTTGAAACATTTGGGCTCAGTGAGGTTTTTTTTTTTTTTTTTGAGAAAGTTATACTTTTATTTAAAGGGACAATATGCAAGATTGTTTTGCCACCAGGGGTCGCTAACCTCTTACAATAACAAAGGCATATATTAATGACGTATATTCCGCATTAAGCGGAATTATGGATCTTGTCGTCAAGCTGATGGATCTTTTATGGATGAGTGAATACATTGATGTTTTTAACATGACTGCATTATGAAGCAGGGCGCAATTGCTAGACGTATACCCGCGCCACACGCAACGCGAGTCCTGTGGATATAAAGGAATAAGGACATTTAATTCTACCGAACTACACACTGAATTATTCACACAGGTCAGTTTAGTATAGGAATTAAACTTGAGGTAACGCAGCGCTGCTTCACTTGCTCTAACAGTTTCACTATCACACTAAATGGCATTTGAGTGTGTTGAATGTTAGTTAGGTTGGTTGTATGAGACTAGATTAGCATTAGAGAATAACATACAGATCATATTCTAACTTTTCATCATGTTGAACTATATAACATTGATTAGTTTTATGTACATTGATTTGCTCACCTGTTCGCTCAAGTAACATGCAACACTCGTGTCTCTGTCAAGTCGAAGTTAGTCGCGGACGTGGAGCTCTCGGCATCTCGAAAGATGTTGATCTTCGTTTGAGTCCTCTTTTTGTCTCAAAATCTGCCATGGTCCATAATGTTTGAGCAAAACCCAGCTAGGGTCACTCACGCTGTTGAGCACGCATAACCGACCCAGTTGTCCACGTCTGTCGCCATGGTTACTATCGCAGTACGAGGTCAAACTTGGTGGAAACCGGGGGCGCATCATTGACTGGCGACTCCTCGCCCCTGCTCACACGCCGCATTTCCTTGGTTAAAAATCACAATTTTCTCACGATTTACTAATAGTTGGAAACATTTGGGATATTGTAAGTAATCAACTAAACAAAATATATAACATTGGCCTAGTGGTGTTGGGATATTTTACTGCAAAAATCCTGCATATTGTACCTTTAACATGGATGCCTTACTTTGATCAAAATGTTTGATGCTCGGGAAATATTTCTTATTATTATCATCAATGCTGAAAACAGTTGTGCTGTTTAATTTTTTGAGAGAACACTTTTTTTTCAGGATGTATTGATGTCCGTAAAGCTGCATTGGGTCATATTTATGAGGATCTGTTGACAGAAATGCAATATCATATACATAGCTATGTTTTCATTGGTGTATAAAGACCTTAAATAATGAACCGTTATGTTTTTATTACCTTAGAATGAGCCATCTAAACATGTAAAGTGCTGTGCTCACTGTGTACTGCTGAACTGTCCTGTCTTTCGTTGATGTGAATAGGGACTGTGTTGAGTGACATTTATATGGATTTTGTCCTAGGGGCTAACTGTGCACCATGGGACCTGTAGTGTCAAGTCTAGCCACCACATCTCTCTCTTTTCGGCTGCCCTCTCCCTTTGAAGTGGTCATGGCAAAGCATTCAAAGAGTAAAGAAGTAGAGCAGAGTAAACTTTATTTAGAACAGAAATAAAATGGTCATAGAGATTCTAGTTTGGTGAAATTTAACCACAATTCCACTCTGTAAACTGAAGCATTTAGCTGAGTTTGTTTCTCATGCTGTTTTGGTTTGTGTACAGGGAAGATTAGTATCTGCAGGCAGGCGTCACATGACTATGTTCGTCAGCAGTTTGTGAAACTAACTGATAGATGCAGAATTCTGGCAGAAATGTCTTAAAGAGATGTGAGGCTCGTGACCACTGACAGCATTGAAAGACTTTGTTCTAAACAAACCCAATTTAATTAAAATGCCAGTATTGAGTCAAATATAATGGGTTTTGCACATACATTTTTATTTTGTTTATTTTCTTTTCATCTTGACTGATGCTTTATAAATGAGTTTTATTTCAATTCGATACCGATTCAGTTCTATTTGACTTGATATTGATTAATTTATAGAGATCTTAGGTATGGTGCATGGCCAATTTTATTATACTATATTGAAGGTTAAAATCTACTGAGTTGTATACAAACACTTTAATTTACACACAAGGATGTTTTAATACGTTTTTAATTAAATCATTTGTTTCTATTCCAATTTGTTTTTTTGAAATATCAGCATTTAAATGCACGGTGGCTGTCATAACTTGATGGATTCATTAAAACACATTAAATATTGAAGAAAAAAATGTAATATGGTGCATATATTTGCCTAAATGCTTCTCTCTAGAGTTAATTTTTGTAGCGGACTATCGAGTTTATGGTGACTGAATGGCTTTTCTGATGTAAATGGAACATGAAATATTTATTTATTCATTTAGTTAGTTATTTGACAGGGACAATGTACATTAATTGACATTACTGTAAATGCACCAGAATTAGCCAAAAGGCTATTTTTCATCTGTTGTCCCTGGACAGATCTTAAAATTGTCTACCTGCAGCCATCTTTCTCTATACTCAAATATTGATTACAAGCTTTTTTATTGACGTCTTTCCGCAGTTGAAACACTGATTGAGGGATTTTATGGGACATGATATGGATTTCGATCAGTTCTGTATCTTTTAACACCTTTTGATGTTCATTCATGGTTGTTTCATGCTTTAACAAGTAGTAAAGCGGACGATATGGTCAGTTCATGCATGCTGCCTGTTTGTTTGGTCTAAGGCAGCAACAGCGATCTGTCATGCCACGTTAAATGGCACCAAAACTGAATTTATTGTTTGAATTTCATAATAAAATGGACAGAAATTGAAATTGAAATTGTAGACTTTGTTTCACATCCAAAGTAACAACACAAAGCCTAGTGCTATCTATTGGATGGGATGCAGGCTACAATGGCTTTTATTTAATAAACTTTAAAACAGCATAGACTTGAATAATAAAAATACAGCCCTATAATACAGTATTATGTATTATAGGGTAATGCATATTACTAGCAACACAGATCTGCAGCTAATACATAATATATAATACATATTACATAGTAATATGAAGAGTTCAGATGCAAAACCCTCTAAATGCCATTTTAAATTTTCTTCTAAAATGACCATTTTTATCAAGCTTGTATATTTAAGTTCACTTAAATGACAATTAATAGGTAATCTTCATTGCCATTTAAGTGAAATTACTAAACTTAAATATTCAAGCTTGATAAAAAGGATCATTTTAGAAGAAAATTTCAAATGGCACTTAGAGGCTTTTGCACCTGAACTCTTCATATGTATATAGTAATATGTATTATACAACAATACAGCCCGATTCTTGGGATTTAGGAATTGATATCGGTTCATAAATTGAGAAATCAATTATTTTTAAAACACTTTTATTTCCCTCCATGTATAATCACATTCAATTTTTTTTTCTCTATGTATCGCAAATTCACAGCTCAGCTACAATATGTCTTTATTCATGCTGCTACAGATCCAGCAGCTCCACAGAAAACATTGGCCCAAAATGTGTCCAATATGCTTCAAAGCGATAGAATCTTGGGCTTAAATGAAGTACTGGAGAGCCAACACAGTCCCAGGACAGGCAAAAGGGTCAGCCTGCTTAAGATAGAAAGCCTCAGTTCTCCTTAGAGTGAACATATTGTGTAATTTCCTTTAGGTTTTAGGGCTGTATTATTATTCTGATCGTGGCGTTAACCTTGTTAAACTTCAACAGATGATGCCCCCTGGTGCTGTGATGGTTTTGCTTAATTTTAATCAAATCTGGTTCATATTTAAAATTACATTTGATTTATTATGTGGAACAGTTGCATGTAATATATTCAAATGATATGCATGTCAATACATTTCATTAGCACATGAGATGCAGAAGGTGACATTTTCATGTTTTTTTCTTCACAGCTTGGACTTCGAAGAATGCGCCCACAAGTTGATAAAAATGGATTTCCCCGATAGCCAGACGGTACGTAAATAAACTCTGCCGTTCTCTCTAAAATCCTGCAGATCTGTGTTGCTTTCTGTGTCCCTGCACACCGCTGTTTATCGGAAGCTTTTAACTTCATATAAATATTTGTTTTTAGTCTCCGAGGTAATTTGTGCCTTTGTGGTCATTTGGGAAGCATTTGTCATCTTAATATCCTTGTTTTGCAGTTTCACAGTGGGAAAAAAATGGGCTGTTTTGCCTAATGGTAACTGGGTGTTCCCTCCTGTTTTAACTGATCAAATGCATTTCTCCAGAAATGGCCCGTTTGTGATTGTCATCCTGTGTTTCAGTGCCAGCAGCTCATAAGTTTGATGGAAAGTCCTGTATTTGTCAGCGCATAAGTGGCATGGCTATAAGTTGAAAATTCACAATCATGTCACCATGATAACTTTTTGGAAATTTAAGTGATTGTGATGGCAGTTTTAGCAATTGCAGCTCTTTCATGGATGCTGGCTTTCTAAAGGTCTCTGCGTGTCTGTTTTTGTCTTCAAGGTGGATATTGAGTGTTTTGTCACTTCTTTTGTTTGTTCACAATAGGGCTGGGGTAAACGATTATTAACTAAACGATTAGTTGGGCGATTATTTTATCGATTAGTCGACTAATCTAATGACTAATTGGACGACTAATATAAAGAATATTTTTTCTTCTGCTCAATTAATAAAAAAACAATATCTCAAATAAATACTAGCATACTGAATCAAGATACTATAAGCTGGCTAACGTTAGTCTAATGTTATGTATTTGAACACCATCATTATAACTCTACAACCGCCAAAACCGTGTTATTAAAATATTTTTTACAAACATTTTTTATCATAGAGAATGTTTAAATATTAATATCTGAGGAGGGAAACGGAGGCGGAGTTAGTGGTGCGATCGGAGGCTTCTACTACTGGAGATGAATCGGGAGAGGTTTGTGCATCTACTGATCAGAGCGCGTGCTGACACGGAGTAAAGCCTTGTTTGTACTCGACACGTCCGCACGAGCGCGAATGTGCGCACGGCAAAAATGACGCGTTGGGTGCGCAAGACCAGGAAGACTCAAGACTGTGGCTGGCTGTGTGTACGCCTTTTTTTTGTAACAGCGCGCCCGGCGCCGCATCCGGAAACGACTTCAAGCCGAATCTGCCCGAGCTTTTTCTTAAGGGTTTGTTTACTGTGTTTGGTTCATTTAATGGATAGCACATTCACTTCTAGTTGTCTTCGTCCTCTATTCTGCAATGTTTCGGTCTCCCACGTGTGTGTGGCAAGCTGTACCACCGGGAACATGCAAAAAATAAATAAATAAAGAAGCGTCGACGCAATTTTGACGTAGAATCATCGACGTCATCGACGCGCCGCTACAGCACTAGTTCACAACCTATACTACACTGTTATACAACCTGTATAATCGATGAAATGCCAAGTTACTTTCAAAAGGTGCTTGGTTCTGTTTTGATCGCTAGATTTGCTACCATATTCATCTGTGTTTTTGGCTGAAATTTTATCCCAGTATTTCTGTGATATGGCGACTGTTGTGCAAATGGAAAATGCACTGCATTTATATAGCGCTTTCACAGACCAAATGGCCTCCAAAGCGCTTTACATATTGGCTCACCCATTTACTCACTCATTCATACACAGACGGAGGTGTCAGCCATAGATTTGAATGTTCAGGTATGATTTTGTCAAAGGTTTAATAGACACGGGCGAATCGTGTGTGTGTGTGTTCCTCTTTTAAAGCTCTCTCTCTAGGCTATATACAGTATGTATATAAGAGAGAGAGCGTTAAAACATAAAAGCAAATAATAAAGAGGAACAATTAAACCTATTACAAGCCATAATCAAGGAGTGCTTAAATTATCTGAACGTTTTCGGGATTTTTCTTTTTCGCAGTTTTACTGCTGTTTTATTCTTACTGATGACATCATAGATCTAATGCGGTAGATCTAATAGGCTGCATTCACACTAATGCACAGATCTATTTTTACATTTCAGATGTTTTACCCATACTGTTTAATCCCTCAAGACTTAACTGACTGTTTACATTAATCTCGTGTCATAAAAGCAATTTGAGATGCAAGTGCATTTAACTTGCATGGAGTTGAACAGCTGCGAACGCTCTTCACAAAGAACACATGAGCATTTGAAAACAGCTGTCAGTCAGTGAGTTTTGTGTATTGAAAATATAGACCTGTTGCATTCCAAACTGAGGATTGATTTTTATTTATTTTTTCCACCCCGAACTGTAATGGAGCAAAAATATTTTATAAATATTTTACTAAAAAAGTTGAATTACAGAACAAATACACTAATATCTAATGTATCAAATGTCATCAAAAGTCTGATGAATATTGAGATGGGTGTGTTTTTATCTAAATATTCAAGCACTACTCAGAACACACTTGTTTTCTTGGCTCCCATCCCGCTAATCAGTCCGTTTGACCTTTTAAGAGAGATGAGGATGATAAACGGATTTGATCCCCTGGGTCCACTCTGCCTTCTTATTCCAAATATGGACGGTCTTGTTTAGCTGGTGCAGTACTGATAAGTCTGTATGTTGTCCCCGGAGCATATATGTAATGTCAAGAATGTTCACGGCAGGGATCGTTATGTTTTTTTGCCCCTTTTTGAAATGACTTCCACTGAGACGAACTGTATCAAATAAGATGGGATTGTAAAAAGTCCTGAAATAGAATAGAGCCCCCTTCACCCCCACCACCACATCTGCTGCTTTTGGCCATTTGAGAAAAGAGCCAGTGAGGTGCACAAGATGGAAACATTGTGTTTGCAGGCCTAAGGGAGATTGTGTAACAGGGGTAGCATCCTACAAATGTCTTCTTTATCGCTTCGCTCCAGCTCTCCTTACAGGCTCAGGAGCACGTCAGGAGGGGAGAGGCATGTACTCGCTCCCTAGCATATACACATATGTCAGCTGTGTTGTGGGTGACATCCCTACATCCACCTACTATCATCTCCACATAAATCTGGGATGTTTTTGGCTCGAAAATAAGATTTTTTTTTTTCAATTGGTGCCAGTAGTTTAGTTTTGCACTTCTCTTGCCAACAAACTTCAGTTGCAGTTGGTGATGTAAGAATTGTAGATGCTTAATATATGTAGGTATTGTTATTAGTTTTGAATGTTTATGCATTTATATTCAGACTTCTAGTCATACTATATAATTATTATTTGAAAAAAAAATTCTGTTTATGTTTTATTTATGTATATAATATACATACATTTTAGAATATTGTAAGTTAATTTAATCAGATATTTTTGTTGCTGGTTTTTGTACATTGTTTACACAGAAACAAAACATTAAGGAAATTGACAATGCTGTTTCATTGAGCTCATAATGGAGCCTTTGAGTGATTTAAATAAAAAAACAATATAAATGATTACCTCATTGCAAGGAAGTGCTCGTGTTTGCCAGTTTGTTGGTGGTGGGTCGTTCTCAGATCTCTCTCTGAAGCCAGAACTGGCAGAACATGGCTCAGATCCAGACCTACCACAGTCCTCTGCGTCATCACACACAAACACACACACACACACACACACACACACCTGAGCCTGCCTCAAACCCCTCAATCTCTCTGCAACATGAGAAAACACGTCAACTACTCTGGTTTCCTTAACAGCACTGTTTAATAAATAAGTTATTATTGGAACTAGACATCTGAAACTTGTAATCTGAAAGTTTGACTGGGGTTTCGTTCATCCAATTAAGTGTACACTTTATAGGCGTCTCAATGGCATTAACATATAATGTAACATAAAACGTCAAATGATAGCTTTTTTTGTGTCGTATGATTGATGTACTGTGGTGTACCGCAAACGCTGTCCCTCATTTGGAGCTCCTTGTATCATTGCGGCATGCGCTGTTTCTTTCACACATATGGGTTCACGTCCTTGGAACCCACTGCGTTTTGTCCCTCCTGAGTTGTCGTACCAGAATAAACTGTCCTTGAGTCTTTGGTTATTGCTGTTTCTGCCTAGTGATCTGGCTTTTCTCCTAAATGGGTTCCCACAGTCATCATGAAAAACCTGGAAATATGTGGGAATTTGAAAACTCTTTTCCAGGCCTCCAAAAAGCATGTTGTTAAAGACATGGAAATGAATGGAGTAAATGTAGTTTTCTAGACTTTGTTTTAAAACATTGTACATCTGTGCAAATCATTCTTTTGAGTCATTTGAACTGGTCCATCTGAAAGACTTATTAGTGAATTTGAGTGTTTTAATTTTCATTTATTTTCATTCATTCTAGGGGACATTCATTGATGTAAGAAACTCTGTTAAGCAAAACACCCCATTTGTCCAGCCTTTATAGCTGTAATTTCATTTGTGGTAAAAATTGTTCTGTCTTATGAAAATCCCTCTTGATGAGGTCATTAGCGTTTAAAGGCTGCTATAAAAAGGTGGAATGTTGCTTTAAATTCCGTACAGCTGCTGCTGATTGGCAGGTGTTTCTGTTAGGGTGGAGATTTGTTTATATTCTGCAGCAAGAAGTCTACCACGTGTTTGGTTTCTAGTTTCCACACAAGACATCAAGAACAGCATTACAGAGCCAAAGACCAACATAGAACTTATTTGGAATCAGAACGTCCATCATTCCCAAAGTTCTACACATCCTTTGCCACTTGTGCATTTTATAACAGTTTGTCCAATTTGTTAGTTGTATGCTTCAGTTTTCATTAGCCGCGTTTCCACTGCCGGGCCAGGGCCGAGCCGTGCTAGTGCGTGGCAGGGCCAGTCGCGTTTTCACTGTCACTTCCGGGTCTTGATCGGGGCCAACGGCCAAATCCTGGCCCGTCGAATACCTTGGGCAAAAGCGGGCCAGTTCGGGCTATGGCGTGCTCAAGGTAAAAGGCGAAGTTTATCGGTGTTATGGAACGTTATGATCTGAAGCAAGATGCACATTGCACTTTTTTTATATCGCGCAAAATAATCGCTGCTCGAAATGGAGAATCGCCTGTTACAATACTGGTCTTTTACAATACC